AACCCACAACTGGGCTGTTTTCTTAACAGAATGATACCAAAAGTATTTTATGGAGTTAGTCAACAGTCTTTGAGGTGAAATGCTATTCTGTAAAAATTACAATATTTCCAGTGAATGTGTCAATATGTACTTTCAATGGAATCACTTCAAAATTCTGCCATATTAGTTTATAGACTAGCGTGTAGGAATTCATGTTTTCTTTTAAACCATGCATAATCCTTACATTAGGATTTTGCATTTTGGGTTTAAGAAAGATTATTTAATCATTTAAAATCATGTAATATGCTACATTTTATTGCATTTTAATTTTTTTTACACTTTTAGAATGTAAAATTTTACTTCAATATTTAAATAATTTCAAAAGCACTTCAATGTTATCAGAACAAGTTTCCAATAAAGTTCCTTTGCTGTCGTTAAACCTAAATATTTTAGTATTTTTCACTTCAGACAAGTATTTTCAGATCTTGATTCTCTACCACGTGCCGCTGTTCAGCAGGAAACTTACTTTGCCTGCAAGTCTGTCTTGTTGGCTATTTAGAGTCTCACTGACAAACTGAATTGTCAATGGAATGTATTCATTCGTTTATATCAACAGTATTGTCCCTGTCTGCTTTGTTTTCCTCTGAGTTCTTATTTTTTCATCAGCAGCTTGGAAGTGAATCAGTGTCTGCTTATTTTCTAAGGGAACTGCAAAGGGAAGGGCTGCTAATTGTCTCATAAAAATATTTGTCAGGAAAACATGTTTATTTTAAAATGTACTTTTATCCAGGAATGATCTCATGCCTTAAAATTTTCATCTTTGAGGCATGTTTAAAATCTCACAATGTCCAGAATGTTGTTATACAGCCAGGAGGTCTATAAAACCTAAAGATGGATTCAGGGTTTGTCCATGCTGACTCTTCCTCATTTGCCCATGTCTTCTCACTTCCCGGATGTCAAACAGTAATAAGTAAAAAAGACTTCACTAGTGGTTGAGAACTATCTCAACATTGAACCATAATATTTAATTACAGTATTAGGAAGTCTGTAAAGTTATAAAAGTATATAGAAAACCCCCTGGAACAGGCAGTTAAATATCTGAAGACTGCTGTTGGGTTCTGATAGCTTCTGATAGCATCTTTGTTTCACTGAATAAAAAAAAATAATATTTGCTTAAAATTTTGAAATATTTTATTTTTTAGAATTTATTTTAAGGAGCAAGGATTCAAAGACTTGCATATTAAAGAAGAATGAGAGCTATTTAATTTCAAGAAAAGGGGTCAATTTTCATTGATGCTTGTCCATTTAAAAGATGACTCTTTTGGAACAGATGAAGATATAGTAGAATAAAAGTTGCAATGAGTTAGAAAAAAGGCACAATTGACCTACGGCTGTATGATAAAATTTTAATTGACCCAATCTATCAAGACACTGGGTGACACTGAACCAGAAGTTTCACAGAACAAGATAGCCAATAGATAGCAAAGATAGCAAACTTAGCCAAAACTATACTATTATGTGTTTGCAAATCATTATTCAATAAAAGTGGGGGGCTAATGGAAATTTTAAAAATATGTCTGTATTTTCTCAGTATAGAGACTTCTCAGCAATGTATGGTGTTGCTTTTAGGATATTTCTTGCAACAGAACCCTATATTTGTTTCTTCATTTGTGAATAAAGATCAATTAGATGGTAGAGAATGATACCCGCTGTAACAGTCATTAAGCAGTGGGTAGTAACATCTCCTTTTGTTATACACACAAACAAAAATAGTAATGGTTGTTTGGGAAAGGTCCCTCAAGTTTGATGTGTCTTGTGTCACATGTACTGGATCAATGGACACTAGAGTTTATTTGTGTCTTTTAAGTTTTTTGTGTCTTTTAAGTCTTTTAATAAGGTTAGAAAGTATACTGAGATGACTGATTTCATCTGTATGATTTGAAAGATAAGTAAAATTAAAACTGTATACCTGGTTTGTTTCCTATTCTTCTTAAATAATACTTTAAGAAGTTAAGAAACTTTCTAAACCAACACAAATACTGAACTGAAGGTGGCTCCAGGGTGGACAGTAGTTCAGGGAGATGCAAAAGAATGTTTTACAAATGAAAAACAAAAGAATAATTTTGTTGTTCATCTCCATAAAAACCTTTTGAAAATTTGAGACAGACAGAGGAAAAAAAAATAAGGAAAAAATGTAAAAACGTTTTGGAAAGGAAAAAAATTACTTGACACAGAGAATATTAACATATTCTTCCATTGTATTCTAAACATCTCTGTGGTTTGTGTAGGTAGCCTTGCTTTAAGCTAGCATTTGAGATTGATAACAGTGCATTCACAACACTATCAAATGTATACCATGAATTCACGGCACCATTAGGATCCTTAAATCTCTTGCAGGTCTTTGGATTAGCAGAGTGAGCTCTGTGCTGCTGCTAGACACTTGGACAGTTGTCCCTCCCTAACTAATTTAAAGCTTTGAGTAATTACATTAACAAGATTTTGTGTATCTCAAACTTTTTAGTGTACCAATGAGAGGCAACTTGATTGCACCACATAAATTCTTCCTTCAGAGAAAAATAGGGGTACTGAGAGTACAAAAGATATGGGTGGGAGTCAAACACAGGGAAAAAATTGAATACTTGGGTGATAGACTTTAAAAAAAAAATCTACTTGAAGGTGTGTTCAAATAAAAACTTGATGTCCTTCTGGAGTTTATGCTGCAATCAAACACACTGTACCTGGGCTTAGTATGAAAGTGATTGAATACAAGTGATTGGTACCTAGAGTTGAGTTTAGGTACTTTAGATGTACAGGTTGTGAGATAATATCATCTAAGGGCATAGCCGTGGTCCAAACCTGATTTTTTGATCCTCTGAAAAGAGCTTTTCAGATACATTATTTGCAGTTTATTTCATTACATAGTGTTAATTTATATGTAGTGGTTGCAATGGGGTGATAATGCACAAAATTTATTGTTTGTGTAAGTGGTCCAGCAAGATCTGGACAGGGAATGGAGATTTTTCCTACTGGAAATTATAAGTTCAAAACTGAACCCTGGTTTCACCTCCCTCCCCTCCCCCCCTCCCCCCAATAAATTATTTAGGGCAAAGACAGCTAAAAACCGAAAGGCATTTGACCGAAAATATGTCGGGAATGCAGTGGAATAGCTTTGTGTGGTGTAACATCATATGTTTATGCCAACTAGAACACTCAAGAAAATGTTCAGCAGTGCTGGTGCAAGGCCATCATCGCTGAGTCCTATCAAAATTTACCTCTGTGATGAAAAGAATGATATGGTAGAATGGATGCAAGCCAGTGCTGCATTATATGTTTTAAACCAATATAAGGTTACCTGTGAAGTCAGCACCATTTACTTGAACAAATTTAATTGAACTGTGGTCTTTTCTTTTTAATGTGAGGGCACTGGGCCTGTTCAGCCTGGAGAAGAGGAGGCTGAGGGAGGACCTCATCGCTGTCTACAACTTCCTCACGAGGGGAAGTGGAGGAGGCAGGTGACCTATTCTCTGTAAACACAAATGATAGGACCCACAGGAATGGTGTTAAGCTGAGGCAGGGGAAGTTTAGGCTGGACATCAATAAGAGGTTCTTCACCGAGAGGGTGGTTGCACACTGGAACAGGCTCGCCAGGGATGTAGTCACTGCACCGAGCCTGTCTGAATTTAAAAAATTATTGGACTGTGCACTTAGTCACATGGTCTGAACTTTTGGGTAGAGCTGTGCGGTGCCCGGAGTTGGACTTGATGATCCTTATGGGTCCCTTCCAACTCGGGATATTCTATGATTCTATAATGTGGAAACATCCTTAAAAAGATTAACTGAGGTTAAAAATTGAAATTAGGATGCTTCTTGACCAAATATCAGTAGTCATCACACTAGTCACAGTATTTGAAGTCACTAGTGTTTATTAAAAAAAAAAAAAAAGCTGTGGTTTGTAATATCTTCTCCCAGTTTCCTCATAAATACAATTAAGACAAACTGAGTGAATTATGAGAAATATAACTGAGGGCATACTCTGTTCTCCATTCCTGAGGAATGGACAACATGAACTTTCACCTTAAATCAGATTAGAGGCAACAATTTAACATGAGGTCAAATGCATGGAAACCCATTCCCAGACTTTTTTTGGCTTGTACAGGGTTAAAGATCTGAGAGCAGAAGGCTTTGTTGTATCTACTACATTCAGGCAGATTTCTCTAGGAGGTGAACTGCCTTAAATACAACCCTGCCATGTCTTGCAGAGTTGGTAGCATTCCCTGAGAGCAGTTCTACTGGAAGAATAAACTGGAGGAAACAATGTTGGTGGAACTTTTTTTCTTGGAGATGTTACTGAATCAAGGTCCATGAGATGTTAGCTGGCAGACAGCACAGGATTTTTCCCAACGGAGATGTAAAGTGATACTGGAGTCATTAAATAGCTGGTAGTATTTTTTTTTTCTTTTTCATGAGATTAAAAGGCTTAACTACAACATCCTAGCCAGATTCTGACTCAGCTCATTACGTCATAAACTCATAAAGTTCATTCTGTAGAAAGTATTATATCCTTCCTCTCCTCAGCTGTTTGTTAAGTGTCACTGTGCCATGCAGCTGCTGTATTCGATTAAATAGATGGTTTAAGTGATACTTATAAAATATGTGGTATTCAATAACATGGCTACTTTGTGGTTCTGGATTAACCCTAAAGGATTTTCCTTCTATATTATATCCGATTATCTGATCCTTCATGGTTATATTTCTCTCTCTTATCCCTCTTCCAGGTTTCAGCTGTTTTTCCAGTTTTACTCACCCATCCTGCCTTCATTCCCTCTCTCATTTCCATTTTTCAGTGCTTCATCTTACTACGCAATGCTTAGTGCTCTAGCCCCCAGAAACAAGTTGTTTCCAGGGGAATAAAACAAAAAGAAAAATGAAGAAACAAACAAAACCAAACCAAAAAATCCACATCTATTTTTCTATCTCTCATGTGTGTATTAAAAGAATGTTTTTCACTTTCATGGTTTCAGGGAAAACGTGATAACATGGTCCCAGTGCGTGTTCCCCATAAGCTCAAAATCCAGAAGTTTGAAGATCCTGATTTCTAATCTTGGGTTGTGACTTCAGCAGGTATGACTTATTATTTTTCAATTACATTTGTTTTTCTAACATTGCTTAACAGATTTTTTTGGAGCATGTGAATACATTCTTCCAGTGACTCCTGTTTCCTCATAGAAAACATTTCCTCATTTCCTTTGTAGAAAATTACAGTTTGTTATCTAGCTGCTTATGAAGAGATGCCCGTTCCTTTTCTTACACTTGCACATCCAGACACCTGACATCTTCTTCCTGATAAAGGGCTAGACAGAGTCCTTCTGAGAAGCACTGAAAGAAACTTTCATTACCACACCAGTGTTTTCACAAGTCTCCTGTGCAGTCTGGAGCCAAGTTGTCCATACCATCCTGAATTTTGTTACAGGGTCTCAACCTGGCACACTGACTGATTTTCACTTAAACTGATGAAGCAGTCAGGTTGGAACTCAAATTGAGATTGATACCTCTCGTTCAGGGGCTTATACATAGCTGATGAGAACCCACCAGTATAACTTATGGTATCTTATATGCATTCCCAGTGCTGCCACAAGGATATAGCTATCGACCCCGTGTTGCATCTGCCACAACAGTGGGACTCTTGTATCCGTGATGTGTTTCAATGGCATTGCATGGCCATGTGTATCATGGCTGAACGTATCTCCAGGTAAGCTTCTACACAAAGAAACTTCATGAAGTCTAATACCTTCATTTTTTGGCCAAAATCTAAGATGGGCCCACAGCAAGACAAATTCAAGTGATCATAATATCACTAAGTCATCAGAATCTATCAGGATTTTTTCTTGAAGTGTGAACCAGAAGATATGAATTCCAGTTATGATTTTGTTGATTTTGTTATAGATCCCTGTGTCCCAGGATGAAACCTCTCTCCTTGAAAGCAGAAGCTTGCCAGGGAATCTGCTGTTTCATTTTCTGTTTTTACACAGCATATAGAATTGTGTAATTCATACTATAAGTAGGAAACCAGACAGTATAAAAAATTATACACAGTTTATCACAAGTATCATAAGTCTAAATTTGTTTATAAGCAATAGCCAAGTAAATGTGTTTCTTACAATAGCTTTATAAAGTATTGAGAAATTGAGATAAAAATTACCTTAAAATTAATTTTAATGTAAGTTCCTGTTAAAGTTCTGAGGTAAGATACAATCCTTATAAGATGTTTTATAATGCACTTTTTGTGGAAATGAACCTTTTTTTCTGGTTCCTCATCAGAAGTATGTAATTACTAGCATAATATATATTGCACATGCAAACTATTCATAGTAAAATGAAAGCAACCATGTGTAAATAATCCAGTTAAATAGAGGTGAGTTTCTTTTTATTTTAATTCTTTTTGAATTGTAATAATAAATGCCAATCATTCCAATCTCCATATGTGCCACCTAAAAATCTGAATTTACTAGTGTTTAAAGAGTTGTTTTTTGCAATATTTGTAATGTTGGCCAAAGTAATTTACAAGAAGCAGGACTAGAAACAGATTTCTTTCTGCTGCAATCCTTGCAGCTGCTTTAAGGGCACCTTGCTCTTCGCATTAGCTGACTACCTTGATTTTCCTTTCAATAGTTTCTGAAACACTTCTGTATGCATATAGGCTCACAAAACATTCAGTGTGTTAATACCATCAGCCATTTGGCACCTCTGGGCAGGTAAATGGGAACTATTTCTTCCTTTTTTCCATCCGCCTCAATGAGCTGCATGTTGCGTCTGGTGCCAGTGTGAATGCATGGGGTTAGGGGCTGCTCATTTGTGGCATGGCCTTCTTTGTGGTGTTGGCCCATGTCCAATAGCATACTTGAATAATTTCCAAGCATAGTTTGGGGCAATAATACAGTGCATGTATGGAGTGTAATTACTCTTCTTCCTCCTTGAAGCACTATGATGATTTTTTCTCTGGATATCAGGTATTTTTGTTAACAGAATTTCTATATATTTTTCAGCTACAGGCTGGTACTTTCTTGTTCCCACACAGACATTAAAAAAATTGGGAGAAACTTAACAAATGAGAAAGAGTGGTGAAACTTGCTGCTTTAACAAGCTGGAAGTGAAAACATAATGTAGTACACAACTCATTAGTTAATTTTATTGCAACTTTATGCCAATTTTTATTAGATGTTTTTATTGGATTAGGAATTACTTTTGGAGATTATGTTAAAATATGATGGTGTTTGCCTATTCTCACAGCAGATGTAAAATTTAAACGGTCTTATTTTAATATGTATTTCTTCTATAACATAGATTTTGCCATTTGGCAAACTCTTTAGAGTCAAACATTTGGCATAAAATCAAGTCTAACTCCTTGCAGTCAAAGATTAATGATCTGTCCATAAATTTTATTTATTGTATGGTTAAATTCCTTAGTATCAAATGCTTCCACTTACTAATGTGACTTTAGCAGTTTGTAAATGACATTAACAAATAACAGTCATTTTATGGTGGTCCTATGGCACAACTAACTCCTGTGATGCTACCTCATCTTCCTTCTTGCAATTAAAATAAATATTTTACTCCAAACAGTTACTCTGTCAGAGAAGTGTCAAAAAGAAAAGGCTAATAGGAATATCTGCTACATACCCTTTCATATCCTCTGAAAGAATCTCATCACATGTATGGATTTAGTGAACATGCACTGTCAGTTGATGCAAGAAGAATTAGCAGTCATGTAAGTGTTTTCATTGATTTAGACAGGCATCAAGAGAAGACTCTGTACCACTACTGTTTTCCTTTTTTTCTTCCAGCCACAGAGAGCCTCTGTTCTCAGATGAGGCCTGTGTGTCAATTCATAAAACGGGAAGCCATCTCTGGTATCACTGTGCAATGTTCAGTTTTAATAAACATTTAATTGATCCAAGTGCTTACTTCATTGTTGAAATGTGCCATGTTGTATCACATAGGATACTTGATATCTGATACTTGAAATCTTTAGTTATGCAAGGAAACGGCAATAAATAAGGATAAATTAAATGTAATGGTTAAAGTGAGATTTTAACAAAGCCCATTTCTGCTATACAAATAAAAGTTATGTTGATTTCAACTGATTTCTTTTCTAAAGGAAAAATTGGATTCTTGGGCTCCTTATATAACTTGACCAGTCAAAACTACCATATTGTAGCTGAAACACAACAGAGTTTAATTGTATTCAATTTAAAGCCTATTCCTAAATGTAATTGGTGAAAATAATCTTTGTTTCCAGTTTTTAGAAGCAAATCAAATCAAATATCATAAAATCAAATCAAATCAGATCAAATCAAATAGAACAGTTTAGCTGGAAGAGACCTTCAAAGATCATCAAGTTCAAACTGCCTGACCTCTTCAGGGCTAACCAAGAGTTAAAGCATGTTACTGAGGGCATTATCCAAATGCTTCTTGAACAGTGGTAGGCATAGGGCATCAACCACCCCACTACGAAGCTTGTTCTAGTGTTTGACCACCTTTACAGTGAAGAAATTTTTCCTAGCATTCAGCCTGAACCTCCCTAGCACAGCTTTGTGTCATTCCTATGCTTCCTTTCATCGGTTACTGGCATATCCCTCCCAACTTCTCCTCCTTAGGAAGCTACAGAAAGCAATGAGGTCACCTCTCTGCTTCCTGTTCTCCAGAGTAGACAACTCAAGTGTCCTCAGCCTCTCCTCATAGGACATGCCTTCCAGCCCTCTTACGAGCTTTGTTGCCCTTCTCTGGATGCTTTTAAAGACCTTAACACGCTTTTTATATTGTGGAGCCCAGAATTACACACAGTAGTCATGGCAAGGCCACACCACCACTAAATATACATGTAGTGCAATAATCACCTATTTTGGCCAGCTGGCTATGCTGCTTTTAACGAACCCCTACATGGAGTTTGCTCTCTTGGCTGCCAGGGCACACTGCTGGCTCATGTTGGGCCTACTGCCAACCAACACCCTCAGATGTCTTTCTGCAGAGGTGAAAGGAACCATCATACACCACAAATTCTTCTATACGTTTCTAAATAGTTATGAACCACCTATGATGACTCACAAAAACAATTCATACTCTGTTCAACTTAGTTGATGACACTCTGCATCCATGAGGATCATGTCCTTTGTGTGGGTTGGAAGTTAGAATGTTTTTTTATAGCACTGCAGGTGTGCACAACTACACAGTCATTGGCAGGGTAAGGTAAATGTCTGTGGTTTTTGATAGAATCTCTTTGCAAAACATGAATGGCAGTGTAATCCCATTATGTTGACAAAGCAGTTCTTTTGATGCCTGTATTAACACCATTTCACATTAAAAATAATTTAATGCAACCTTTAAATTACTTATTTCTTCTTTAACTTCTTATACTTCATATGTCTGCTTTAATATTTTAGAATTTTATGGCTTGTTTACACAGTATTTACTTTCTAACTCTCCAGTTTGCTACATGCATTTAGTTTCACAGTTTTTAACCTGCAGTTAAAGTACTCTGTTCTAATGCATTTTTAAATGATCTTTTATTTATTTATTTATTTATTTCAGCATTGGTTCTACAGGTTAACATATGGTTACAGCTGTTGTTGAATTCTATTATTTTTTCTATTTTTTTTTTTTGAATTTTTTTTGTTAACTTTTTACTTCTCATTCATTAAACTACATTGTATTTGTAGAAGACAATCTCTCTCTCCAGGTATTTATATAGAACTTATTTGTTTGTTTGTTTTTATACTTCTCTGTTCAAAGAAGCAAATGCCAATGCCTGGAAGGTTTCCAAATCATATAGCTCTATCAAAGGAGAAAGAAACATGGAGGTGCTTGGAAGGTGGAGATTCCTTGAATGAATGCAAGTGGACTGCACAGAATTAACAGAACTATAATGATATACAGAATTCTGCATGCCTGAAGACAGATTTTGTCTTTGGCTTCATGGGAGGATTATTTCTGCTTTGCTTATGGGCTTGAGATATGAATACACAAATGGAAATGCCCTGAGACAGAAAACTTGAATGTAAACCTGAAAGTTAGAGCATTGGGGCATTTGTGCAACAACAAACAGCTTTCTCAGAAATAATTTGGTTTGTGCAGGGAAGAAATTACTCTGTTTTGGAACTAGAGAGATAAGGGATTAAAGGGTTAGATGGTCAAAAATCTGTTGGCATGTAGGGACATGTACAATTTTTCCAATCTAGAATTTTTCTAATTTTTGCAATCTAGGGACATGTAGAATTTTTCCAGAACAATCTGTTTGTAACTCCATTGCCTTAGAAATAAGGAAACTTACTTGGATAACATCTACAAGCTAGTAAAATCCAATTCTTCAAATTTAACTGTAGAACTCCCATTGGAGTCCATGATACCAATATTTTAACTTAAGGATATCCCAGAACAAAAGTAACTATTAAAGCATGTCTTCTTAATGTATTTCATTTCAGATTTCATTGGACCTCATACAAACATGACTGATGGAATAGCTTTAATTAGCTGCCAGAAATACATTTCCAACATGTTTTCAGGAAAATGTGCTTTCAATCAAGCATACATTTATTTTTTTTTACATTTTTTGTTGCATATGATATTTGTGCAATGGTTTTTATCTATCAATATCTAAATGGGATTTTATTATTTTAAGCTACTTCACTGAAGTAATGTTCTGAAGCTTTTAAATAACATAAAATATATAAATGGAGGAAATCCTAGAATTCCTGCAATCAACAGAAATTCTATTACTGATTTCAATAGGGGCAGAATATCACTTTTCTTGCTTGAAGCATTATGCATTCTTTCAAACAAATGCTGAAAGGCTATTCCTACAACTTTCTACTCTTTTGTATTAGCATTTGTATCAAGAGTATCTGAAAGATCTTAGCAGAAACAGCTCTGATTTCAATATATATTTCCTGTGAGTGTATGTAGTGTAATTTGTGTGCTAAATTTGAAATATTAAGTGCTCAGTGTACATAGGATTTTCAGAAGCACTTCAAACTACTTATAAGACTTTCCTTTGAAATTACATGGATTTTTACTTTGACGTAATTTGGATCAGGGTTAAAAACAAGGCTGAGTGCTTTTGAAGATTCCAAACTATGACTAAGTTGGCATAGGATACATTCCCTTTGATGTTGATAAAAAAATCTTTTATTTACTTCAGTGGAATTTGAACACGGGGTTGAACAGTGGTTACGTCACAAAATTTATAGTGGCTCAAAATTTTATAAATATTGGAATCTGAAGTTTTAATGATTTGTAAGATCTAAACAAAGGACAAAACATTGTTCTATATTCAGAGAACATTTTAAAAGCAATTTTATATACTTCACTGGAATTCGTTATATCATATAATACTGTTGAATATGAACAAGGTTATTAGAATCTGCTTCAAAGAGAGAAAAGAAAACAAAATTTATCTTGTAAAGTGCATAGAAGTACTGACTATACCAGCCAACTGACAGTTTCTACCTGTTACAAATATATAGTATTACACAGAGAAATGAATGACACAAGTATGAAATTAACATTTGCAAATTTCTTTTTTTTTTTTTTCTTAACCCAGAAATGGTGAGCTAAATAAATATTTAAAATATATAATGATTACTGATTACTTTGCTTTTCTTAGTACAGCTGAGAAAAGTTGCATGTACAACTGCAGCAGTTACAGATTATGGCTTGTAAAAATATTATGGAAGGAACACAGTCATTTAACCACTTTTACTGCTTGTTGTTACATTATGTAAGTTTCGAAGAGGCAAGTTTCATGTATGTAAAAATTCATATAAAATTTCCATTAAACATGTTAAACTTATGAAAACATTGTCCTGTTCAAGATAATTATGTTTTTCTTTATATATGAAGTCCATTTTAACTGCTTAGGAATTATTTAATTCAGTAGGTATACTCTCTTTTTGTGCTTGTGTATGAAATATAGCATTGTCTCTAATGCTCTACTAATGATGCTTTGTTTCCAAAATACTATAGGCTTAACTGACCTTTATTTAGATGACTTGAATCCTTTCCTGCAATTTTCACACCTACTGTGATGTGTAGGCTAATACCTACTTTGAGCTAGATTGAAGATTAGCCAATAAATGCCTTAAAAAGAAATATATACATATATTTTAATTCTTACCAACTTGTGTACGTAGTCATTCAAATGATTCTGATGAAATAGAGCAAGATTATATTTACATTGTAAAAGGGGAATTGATAATCATAGGATTATAGAACATCCTGAGTTGGAAGGGACCCACAAGGATCATGGAGTCCAACTCCTGGATCCACACAGGACCACCCAAAAAACAGACCATGTATCTGACAGTGGCATCTAAACGCTTCTTGAACTCCATCAGGCTCATTGCTGTAACCACTGCCCTGGGGAGCCTGTCCTAGTGCCCAGCCACTGTCTTGGTGAAGAACCTTTTCCTAACACCCAGCCTGCCTCTGCCTTGTCCCAGCTCCACGCCATTCCCTCGTGTCCTGTCGCTGTCCCCAGAGAGCAGAGCTCAGCGCCTGCCCCTCCACTCCCCTTGTGAGGGAGCTGCAGGCCGCCATGAGGCCCCCCCTCAGCCTGCCCTGCTCTGGGCTGAACAAACCGAGTGATTTCATCCACTCCTCATATGTAAGGAAGTTACCTGAATTTTGTGGTCAGTGAAATTACCCAGGAGGAAAGACAGACTATCTACTTTATCACTTCCTGCCCCAGACAGGATGAATACATAATGTAAGCGTCTAAATGTAAGTTGGAGCATCACCAGGACCTTCAGGCACCTACATTTACACAGCCTTGCTAATTTTGAACCCCACGTTCTCCATGTGCCCCATTACCATTTAGCTTTTAGTGATTAAAAGTCAGTCTAGGCTTTGTCCAAATTTCCAGGGAGGTGCAGTCCACCAGGTCTGCTCAGAACACACAGGACACACTACACATAAATATATGAGTAAGTAAACAGCCATTGCCACCATGAAAGAATTTTTTCTGGATAACACAGGCTTACTAGTTTCCCTACTTTCTTTTGCATAATAATTGACTGTCCAACATACTTACCCAGAAAGTAAAACCCCTGCATTCAGCACCATCTTGACCTGTGAAGATTTAAATCAACTGCTCCATGCACATTGCCCGTATAAATCATACCTGAGGATTATGACTGTCTAATCCTACGCAAAGCTATTAGCAGCCAATATTTTATCATCTCCTCACAGAGCTTGTTGCCAGTCTTATGTCTTATTTGATAAATAATTACTTCTTATACAAATAAAGTCTCTTATGATAACAAACACAAGAATAAGAATATTGTGTTGACTGGTTTATAATATTTCCTTTCTGGAGGCTAATAAGTCCCATACTCTTGGTCAACAGGATAATGATACTAAAGGTACTAAATTGTATTTTGCTGTTTATTTTGCACTTTTTATACTGAGAAGTTCATTCATCACCCAGGTAACTAGTATGCTAGCAGAGTCAGAATAGCTACAGAAAGCACATCAGTGAGGGGTTGAGTTTAATGAAGGACATGGATCACCTCATAATGCCTGTATAAGAATTGTTGCACTGTCGCTTTGTCTCCTGTTTTGCAAAACATGGAATCAGATGCTTTTTTACACAGTTTATTCACTGAATCTTTAATGTTAAGAACATGCCTTATTGCTTTGTTATATGGAAGTGATTGTTTGCAGCCCAGGTCCTCTGCAAAAGCATGTATGCTGTGCAGGTTAAACATTTTTGGACAGTCACAGGCTATCTCTTCACCTCTCCCAAAATGCAGGGCTCAAAGTCCCACATGTTTTAACCACATTAGCTCAAAGAACTAGCTAAGATTGGCTAAGCATTCAGATCCCATGCAAATAATGCTTTTAATGCAAATAAATCTTTGAAAAGACCATCTATTTGAAAAATCCAGTTTATTAATGTAATACATGTTCATTCAGTTCTTAAATGCTTGTAAAAATGTTTTAAATATATGTGTAGGGAAGAAACTGTAAGCACAAAGGAAAATGCAGTCTCCTATTGGCAACAGTTATCTTGGAGAAAGATTTGTGAATGTGATGGTTTTGTAAGATTTTAACGAAGTCAGAAACTGATAGCACCAGCTAGCGCCAGGCACGATGCAGGCAGGTGCTGAGCAAGCTTCCCCAGCTCAGCCTCTGCCAATGCACGTCCCCCCGACCTGCAGCACTGCAGCTGTTCCTCTTCGTGCCAAGTTGTGTGGTGGTGGTTTGGGGATTTGGAAAAACACATTCTCTGCACAAATACATTTCAGGTCTCCAAAGGGCAGTGAATTAACCCACTGTATCACTTCCAGTGTAATGAATTTTTAAATTCCTCTTTCTAAGCACAAAAGCCTCTCTCTCTCTCTCTTTTTTTTTTTTTTTTAGTTTCCCTGCAGGGCACAGCAATGAGTATCCTTTTCATTCTTCTTTAGCTCACTGCTACATTTTGATCTTTGCAGTTCAGCTGCAATACACTACTTTAAAAGATAAGCATACTTTCCTTATAGATAAAAAAAAAAAAAGAGAGAAATTTCTTTGAACTATATTTATTAAATTAACAAGGTGGGAGAGGAAATATTTTAATAATTCAGGGGCAGATTCTTTACTCTTTGAAGCAGTGATGAGCTCTCTGTGGTGGCAGTGATCTAAGTTTGTGCCAAGAGTGGGGGTGCTGGAAAGAAGTATTTGTTTTATTTGACTGTTAAAAGGGTGCTCATCTCATTACCTGGTTTGATATGAGTTATAATAATGTATATGAGTCCTGAACAACCATACGCTGAAAGAGATCTCAGGTTTTTAGATCTAGGTTGCAGTTTTTAGTCCTCTACAGCAGCCCTGTAGAAGAGATGCAAAACTGCTGGCAGTGATCTGAAAGAATCACAGTTATGAAGTGGTTGATCAACAAAGGAAGCCATGACAATTTAATGAATTGCCAGAAAGTCATCTCATTTATTTACCATGATTCATATTTATATTCTCTACCTTTTTGAAGGAGAGCAACTTAACTTCCTATGTTTCATACCAGAACTGAAGTGCACTTTCTGAGGGTGTGTGGTAGGTGTCCTGGGCTTAGATGAGATTCAGCAACCAGTTACACCAAAGGTTCATTGTGTTTCCAGATTTAAACCAATGCATCACTCCATTGATGAAGATGATCAGTTCCAAAAACTTCATTTTCCTGCTGAGATAAACAAAAAATGCATTGTTTAGCAATATAGTTTTTGCTTACTGCAGTTTCCCAACTTCAGATTTAAAAACAAAGCAATGGGAAATAATGAAAATTTGAATGTCAAACTTGTTGCAGTTCACCTTGTCCCTTAGATAAAAGTAATCAAAGGGTAGTGGGAAAGGGCTGTTTGTAGGTTTTTTTTTTTTATTTTCTTAGGATCAGTTCAAGTTGGGTCAAAAAACCAAAAGAATCTTCTCCTTTCCCTCCCTCAAAAGATATCCCACTACCCACAAACAATTTTGTCCTTTCTCTAGAAAATAAGGATTGATTTTTTTCCTTAACAATTCATTTCCTCTTTTTTTTTTTTTCCCACTTTGATTATTCCATTTTTTCATATTGCAAATTTATTTGTCCATTTTTTTCCTTTCAAGGAAAATTCTAACATGTTAAGAAACAATAAACTTAATTAGAAAAGGGGAGAGGGAGAGGGAGTGTCAGGATATTTATCTGTTACACAGTGAGAATATTTTCCAGCTGTTTTAGTACATAGGTCCCATCACAGGGATTGTGAGAGGGATCTTAGTAATTCTCAAGAGCTTCTGGTTTCGTTAATATCTTCACTTTCTGTTTATTGATGGGAATTCTTTTCAGAAGTAGACCTACACTCAGAGGTGTCAGAGTGTTTTTGTTAAAAGTCTGAAAGTGAAACTGAGAAAAGCAACAGACATTTTCTGTATGTACAAACAAAGGGAGAAACATGGAAGCTATGTGACTTTTTGTAAAGAAACACTCTTACATGCTAAAAAGATACAGCACATGGGGTATTTCCCATTGGAAAATGAAAGGGAAGGTGCTGAGTGATATATCAAAGATCTATGAATTAAGGTGGATAACTCTTTAAGAACGTAAATGACCTCAGGAGGAATTTTTGGAAGTGGAAGAAGCTAGTTGTTTCACCTTCCCAGGGGTGTATATGAATTTCAGGCTCTAAGTCTGCAGCACAGATGAGGATATTCCGTATGCTGAACACATAATAAGAGGAACATTTTAAGCTGAAATGCTTGTGATCTAAGTTGGATGACAACGAATGACAGATGAACCTAGAAGTGGCTTAGTGTATGGTATTCAACACATAAGGATGCCCTCCTGTGCCCGTTGGTGACCTGAATTACTGTAGCCAGATTACCCATATGCTGGCTGATAACCATGGAGCAACTGTGCTCCCTGGGATGAATCCCTCCAGCCCAGCACCTTTTCTCTGGTGCTGTTGGCTTGTGGTTGTCTGGGTAAAGAAGCTCAACAGCTGTTGGATTCCTCCTTGTGCAGCTGCTCATATCTGGGTATTTAAGAGTTTGCTATCATGTGACTTTGGAAGGCAGAGAAATCTTTGGAAGTGCCCCAAAGCTGGCATCTCAACCACAGCTGTGAAAAAGCTGGACAAATCTAAGCAGGTAATTAAATATACAAGAAATTTTCAGAAAGAAAAGAAAAGAAAAGAAAAGAAAAGAAAAGAAAAGAAAAGAAAAGAAAAGAAAAGAAAAGAAAAGAAAAGAAAAGAAAAGAAAAGAAAAGAAAAGAAAAGAAAAGAAAAGAAAAGAAAAGAAAAAAGAAAAACTCTCTTATTGTTTTCCTTGTTCTGGGTCTAATTCTGAAAAATGCTGAGTCCCTAGGCACTGAGCACATGGAAATAACAAAATTCAGTTGGCTTATTTATAATACCACTTTGCATCTAATGTGAGCACCACCTTAGTTAGAGAACCTCCAGCTAATGATACCTTTAAGAGGTTCTGTATATACAAAATACTAAATATTGTTTCAAATTGCATTAGCTTATGTTTCCTTACTTAGCTTGCTTGAACAAATAGACAAACAACATTATTTGCTTTATCCACATGAGAACTAGCCTTTCAAGAGGCTTGTGCTGAAAGTCCTTTGGCACAACCTGGTATAAGTTCCCTGCATGTCATTTATGTGAACTGTGAGAGACTCAGACCTCTTTGGCCCCTAGAGGATCTTACCTCCAGTCTTTACCAATTTGTCTGTTTTAAAACTAAGGATATGTTGTATTCAATTATCTCAACTGTAACTCCTTATTAGTTTTTAGCCACAAATTCAGTGTAAACTCTGAATTTTCTGAATGCAAAAGCCTTAAAGACATACCCATGAAGAACAGCATAACAATGTCACTCCTGAATAGTGCAAAATCAAAATAGTCAACTGTGCCTTACATGTTAGTTCAGGAAGATGTAATGGTGCTTTTTATTTTATATTTCATGTATAAGCCGTTCAGAGAAAGGATTTTTTTTTTTCCCACACTACCTAATATTGAGGTTCTAATATTGTCTGTCTATGTCTACCACAAACAACCAAGAAAGATTAAAATCAAATTTCTGTATCAGATCACAGTCTCATTGTTGGATAAAATATTATTGGAAGACAAACTATTCCTAAAGCACTGTCTTACTGCAGATTTACTTACTTATTTACTTACATATTTTTGTAGGAGGAAGGAGGTTAATTATTTTTTTAATACTTATAAAAGAGAATAAAGGTGTATCAAGAACTTGCTGCAGGCAGTAATGTTGAGTACTTTAAATACCCCTCCTTAAAGTGGTGGAGGAATATTTTTAACTTTCTGAAAAATATTGAATCTCATTGTAATATCTTTTGGAATGATTAGAACACTTTGGTCAACTAGAAAGTATGCACACTTTTTTAATAGTTGCATTATTCTAACGGTTCCATGATTGAAAGGAATAAAATTTGATAATAACTCCTCTTTGATGACAGATAAGTTTTAAAAGATAAAATATATCAGAACCTTTTAGAAAGTCAGAAAACTCTGCTTAGCCAAATTCAGCAACAATAAATTCCATTAAAATCTTTTCAAAGATAGTATTAACCAAAACCACAGAACAACTCTCTTTCACTTTAAAACTTGCAGGATGCTTTTAAAATGTTGTTTGACCCTCACTGAGGTAAAAATGGGTTTTACCATTAGTTTAAGTGAAATAAGGAACAGATTAAAATGCTAATCTGTATTACTGAAAGTAAAATGAATGCTAGAGGTCTAAATTATAGAGCAGGGGTGAAGGCAATGTATGCCTGAGAAATCTGAAACAAGTTTTAAACTGAGGAAGATTCAGCAATTTTATAGACTAATTTAGATTGCTACCCCAATAAATTTACCATGCAAATTACACTTCTGTGAGGTCATGAAGGGTTATCAACAGTCACACATGGAAGACTTCTGGAAGATAGGTCTTCTGTTAGCACATATCAATTAGAAGAATAGTAATTTTAGAGGCTACTTGGGGTGCTGTCTGGCATAGACCTTCCACAGAGGTCAGTTACAAAAGAAGACTGAAAACACGTGGACTTTAATGCCATTAAGGAAGTCAATTTGTCCTCTTATTCATTCTCCTGGAAATCAATAATACTAGATGAAATTCATCTAAACTTCGGCAGTCAAAATCTTGGGCAGCCATTATAAGCTAGTGCTCTAGATTCCTTCTCTTGTGAAACCATGCAGGAAATGAACTCGTCTACATTAACACCTCTTCCTACTGACTGTAGTGTGAATTAAGAGGTCTGACTTAGACTAGAAGAATAACTCTGAAATGGACATAGAGAGATGAGATGAATCCTCCCCATTTGGATTCTACAAACTGAAAATGCTGGAGCAGTATTCATGAGGATATTTCGCTATTTTCCTCCTAATTATATCTACTGCTCACTGAAATCAATAGGAAAATTTTTACCAGTTGCAATTAGTGCCCATGCTGGCCCGCAGTTTCTACATTCACATACAATTGTCAAGAAAGGACATATTTATTAGCAGGAGATTATCACTGTGTTATAACTTCGCTCATGAGGAAGTGCAGCCATTGACTGCATTACCCAGGAGCACTCTTCTTTTCTCAAGATGGCAGTAATTGTTTTCTTTTTTAGGCAATGCAGTCAGTTGACTGAAACCATGACATGTGCTTTCTGTACACACACCTCATTAACAACCTTACAGGCCTTATAATAAGGCCAATACATAGTTTTAAACCCTTCTATATGGAGAATTCAGAACAGTGTATAATTACAAAAAAAACCAAAAAAACAAAAAAACAAACAACAAAAAACAACACACACACACAAAAAGAAACAAAACCAAACAAACAAAAAATACAAAACAAAAAGAAACCACCTCCCCAGTACATTATGACCTGATTCATTTTGTGTATTATCACTGTAAAATAAACAGTTAATTTAGTGACACTTAACTATAAAACTTAACATGTGAAACATTAATAGCATATACTTTTTTTCCTGTAAATCTGTACTAATCTTACTGATGGTGAACTGGTGGCTCAGCAGTAAGCAAATAAACATAATCTAAGGACAAGCTAGCTATGTAAACCTGTTGACAATTGTGTCCTCTCACTTGATGCATCTGCACATGTTAAGAAAATGTATTTTAAAATAAGGATGTAATTTATTGTCAAGCTGGTCACAAGTTTTGCAGTATGTTGAATGACAGAAGGTGGTTTGTACATGATGAAAGAGCAGAAACAATGAGAAGAGGAAAATAGCAGGACAGTTTGTGAGATTAAAGACAATAAAGGCCATTCACAAAGAATCAGCATATCATGAGGAAGAATAAATACAGTATAATAGTGTAATTTCCAAAGAAATACTTATCCAATACGCAACAAACACACACATCCCTGACAAAATAAAGTGTACAAAGAAATACAAAATGAATTACAACATAAAAATAAACCTTATCTTGTAAGGCTTGTAAAGTAATTAGCAAATACAATACATAGTCATTAGCACTGTAAAATATCCATGGTTTAGGGTACATAATGTGTACCCTAAGAGATGTTTCCAACTGAGAAGCTGTTCAAGTAAGTTATTGCCTTTGATTATGTATGGTTTCTAGTACGTGTTCTGTAAATCAACAGCTAAAATGAAGTCTATGTTTTACAGTTTCTCTCCCTTAAGAGAGACACTATAGTTTGAGTAGACCAAAGCAGGTGCTTTTGCAGGATGGAATATAAGATTCAGAAGCTGAAGGAGCCACTTGGAATGGACAGCATTGCACTGTAGCATTTGCAGTGCCTCCCCCCCCACCCCCCCAAAAAAAATTAAAACAAACAAACAAACAACAACAAAAACAAAGGCAGCTTTTTTAATCAAGTGAAGGCCTGTAAGGGGGCAGTGAAAGTAATTTACAGAGTGTTACAACTCTGCTACTACCTTCACCATGGTTGAATTTACATCTGCAAATGTCCCTGTCTGTTTCTCTTGGACAATTAGGTTCATTCTGTGTGTAATGGTTGCTCAGATGGCTCTACATTGCGAGCAGCATGAGTTTTCACACGTCAGGCTAAAGTTGTACAGCCCCCAGAGCAAGGACACAATAGTACCAACATGACTGTTTTGCTTCTGTTTTAGTTTCATCCATACACTGGACATTAAGTCACTGTATGTATAAGTGACTGAAGCAATATGCCTTATAATGTGCCCTCAAATTCTTTGCTTTCAAACCTCCTAGGAATGGATTTCACACTGTATTTTATTTTAACCAGAACAATACATTACTTTCAATTGTTCACAGAAGAGAAGTCAGGAACAGCAAAGGAGAATTTAAAAGTTTTTTCATCAATAAAATCTTCATTAACCAATCTAAGTGGGTTATTTATCTACCAAGTATATTTTAAGTAATGCCTATTTTAGGCTAGTACCTAGAGACTCCTCAGACTGTTGCGTTAAAAGGAGTGAGCAATAGCACCAAGCAGACATTCTGCCCCCAGAGGTTACAGTCTTAGACTATGTTATTTGGTCTTTAAATATATATATGTGTGTATGTAAATATATACAGGCTACCTGAATGTGGAGAATAATTTATGTGTTCTTTCAGAAATTTATTGATAATAATATATGAATAAGGGTGCATGCTCCTTCAGGCAACACTAAGAATTTTTTGCAGATATGTAAGTAAAACCTAATCTAATGGAGACTGATGTGTTCTGAAACATACAGGGGACAATAGACAAAAATAATTTAATTACCATTCGATATTGTTCATGGTAAAGAAAGTGTAGGGCTTCAGTTACTATCTGTAATTAAAAGTCTCATAAATCCATTTCATAGCTGGGAAAGTATATGCCTCAAAGGTGGAAAATAAAGCATATTAGACATTCAAACACAGCTAAGATTATAGTAACAGTGGAAATTTAGGGCTATGCATCTGTGAAAAAGGACTGTGCTTCTCTTTGTCTATGATGGACTAATGAATGACCCTAGAGCAGTGGGATTTAAGATATAAACATTTATCTTAAGGGTTTCAACTGGTTATCTTAGGCAGCTCACTGCTTCACTAAGAACCTACCTGGTTCCTGGTAGACCCCAGCCTGAGATGCCAGTCGCCTTATGAGATCTTTAAGGCTCCCCATAGTCATGCTGAATTCTGGGTTTCATAACTTGTGATGGGCATTCACTTATTGCCCACTATGGGACTGGAGCCAGGCTGTTCACTCAGATTTTGGACCATGAGATGACATTGTCCTTACTGGGGAACTCAGATGATAAACTTTCTGATTGTTAGGGTTATCAGCCAGGTGCCTTTACATAAATAAAGTTTTCCAAAGTCAAAAAATGACAATGAAAAAGGAAACTTTTTCTGTCCATTAAAAATACAATGAAACATTGCATTGCACAGTTGCTGGGAAGACAGAAATCTCATTAGAAAGCTCTGTTCTGTGTCACACAAGGAGAAAAGAATGACAGAAAAATCCAGTGAACCCTGATTTCAGAGAGGAAAACCTTTTATTTTCCCCTTAATGATTTTAAATCCTTTGGGGAAAGAACTGTGAGGGTGGAGGAGGAGCAAAGGAGAGGTCAACACCTTTTTGTGATAAGATAATATTTGCAGGGGGGCTGGTAGGGGACAAGAGGAGAAGAAAAAAAGACAGTAAACATGATATTTAATTTAAAAGGGAAAGCACAATTGCAGAAACTAGTTTATTAAATAAAACAGCAGCAAAGCAGTTTTAAAAATCCTATTGCATATTCCTTTGGGCAGGTTCAAGATATGGTTAAATTGATACCTGCAGTGGTTCTGATCTAAACTAATAAAATGAAAGGAAATGCTCCCATTAACTTTAACAAGCTTTGGATCAATCCCCTGATGAATTGCGCTGCTCACTGGCTTATAGCTGAGCTACACTAGCTGTCAAACAACCCAAAAGTCTCTCCCCTGGGTATCTTGGCATATAACCCTTAGGTACGCTTACAAAACGACATGGGGAATGACACACAAAGAAAGGAAAATGGGCATTTCTGATGCCAGACACCATCCGTCTTCAATTAAGTTAGCTTCCGAAATGTTTCAAGTATCCAGGCTCTTTTTGAAAGCCCAATTGACCCAGAAGTCTCTAACAAAGCAATCCTTAAAACCAGCCACATAGTTAGTTTGTTTGCTTGATGGGGGGTTCTTAATGCCATAAACCCCAGTGCAGAAGTTAATAATTTCATACATTATCTCTTTGAATATGCAATAGAAAACTCGAGGCAGCTGTTTGAACTTCCCTTTAAAAGAGGACAGATTGCCTTTATTGTGTGCACTACTTCATGGGTTGTTTGAGGCCAGGGCAATTATGGGATGAATGACTTCCCTTTAGCTGTTGATGTGTAGGCTTGTTGTTGTATGCATATTGTTAGGGGCTTTTTTTTTATTATTATTTTTTAAATGAAACATGGGGCCATGTGATAAAGCAACAACAGAGATGACAGGTAATGATCAAAAAAGAAAACAGTCACTACTGACTTGGATTTGTATTGTCTTGTAAATGAAAGAATTAGAATAAGTTACATTTCTATGGATGTCATTCTTACTGGTTTACCACTCCAAGTGTGGGTGTGATTTTGTGCTGTAAACAACACAGGTAAGAAGTAAGCAAACTTTTCAAATTAAGCTCTGTTTTTCCTGTTGGAATTTAGTGGTATTTGCCACAGGATAAATTTTTAGCTAATTTAAAGGTTTTTCATTTTTATTCACTTGTGAGACAAATGGTCTCACCAACTGACTAATAAGTGGACTATTTTTTCACTTTTGCTGGAAGTAGGGTAACCTTCTAATTGGAAAATTATTCTTAAAGTTGAATTATATACATAGGAATAAAATAATTTCTGTAGGGTCCAACTGGCTACACTGGAAGGACTCTTCAACAAACTGCTTATTATAAGGTTACTATTTTCTGAAGAAAATGAGGTCAGAGGACCAAACCTATAATGAAGCCAACTGACAATTCTTTAAGGGAGTTGTACAAAAAGAAGAAAAATATATTTTTGTTCCAGGAAACTCATAGAAGTGGTTATATGATGTAAAATGCATATATACCTAATAATATTTGAGACACACTTGGATATCTGAGATGCTTGAGCATTACTACCACATATGACATGATACTTACTGGAGTTTCTGGAGTAATTGCTGCAGGTGAGGCTGGATACCTCAATGGTACTAGTACCTGTGGAATCATAGAACAGAATCATAGAATATCCACAAGGATCATGGAGTCCAACTCCTGGATCCAAACAAGACCACACAAAAACAAACAAAAAAAAACAAACAAAAAACAGTTCATGTAACTCAGAGAATTGTCCAAATGTCTCTTGAACTCTGTCAGTCTTGGTGTCATGACCACTGCCCTGAGGAGCCTGTCCCAGTACCTGACCACTGTCTTGGCGAAGAACCTTTTCCTAACACCCAGCCTGACCCAGCTCTGTGCCATTTCCTTGGGTCCTGTCACTGTCCCCAGAGAGCAGAGCTCAGCACCTGCCCCTCCACTCCCCTTGTGAGGGAGCTGCAGGCCGCCATGAGGCCTCCCCTCTTCTCTGGGCTGAACAAACTGAGTGACTTCAGCCGCTCATACGTAAGGAAGTTACCTGAATTTTGTGGTCAGTGAAATTATCCAGGAGGAAAGACAGACTGTCTACTTTATCACTTCCTGCCCCAGACAGGATGAGTACATAATGTAGGTGTCTGTTCTAGTGCCCAAACACACTCTTGGTGAAGAACCTGTTCCTAATATCCAACCTGAAATTCCACTGATATGGCTTCATGCCATTCCATGGGTCCTGGCCACCAAAAAGAATAAATCAGCATTTCACCCTGCTCCCCCTTGTGAGGAAGCTGTAGACTGTTTGAAACTATTGAATTTAGGCCTCTCTTTATTATGTTCCTATGGTTAATGAAACAGATTTTCTGACACTGCACATTCCTTAGAAGCATCTGTACTGATTTAAAACTTCTCAGAATAATCTGACAAAATTATTAGGTAAAGCCTTAATTTGCCACAAGTGTGTACAGAAGCAATATTAGTATAAAGGTACATATAAGTTTTCAGTTCCTTGGCAAATACATAGAAAATGTAAAGTAAAATAGGGGGAATTATCAGAAATATTTTTCAGACTATTTTGAGAAAAAGATGAACAGAAATGTTTGAGACCATGCTATGTACCTTCTGCTCTATTTTTATAAGTTTTCTTGAACTTTTAAATTCAGCCAAAATAAATTACATTAATAATGTCAAACAACAAAGTATTGCATTCTGAACATACCTAAAAAGAAGACTTAGATCAATACACATGCATGGTTTTTTCTATATCATTTAGTGTTGATTGAACATATTTGCTGAGATTGACAAGATTTCATGAAAGGTTTTGTTTCATTGCCTACATTTTCTCTTAAGATAGCTTGGTTAAAGCTGTTGGAATTTTTATCTTTATTACTGATACTTCCTAGCTAGCCATGAAATTTAACCTCATAAATTTGATTTTATTTAATGTATTCTGTCTGTCTTTGCCTACTGCATAGAGTATAAAATATGTCATCAAAGCTATCTTGAGTTAATATTCCAAGAAAATATTTTATTTTCCAGTGATGAATGAAAATGACTTATTATCTTGTTAGCATGACAATATATATATGCTGAATTATATATATATATATATATATATATTTCCTTTAATTCAAAGATAGTAATTCAAAGATGTTCATTAAAAACTGGAAAAAAATCTTGGAAAGAGCTTAAAAAGTCTTTTGAGGTTCATTTGCATAATTCCTTTTTTAGAGCTTTAATTAACAGGGATCTGTAAGTGTTCTTCCCACTTGTGTTGCAATTTCCCATGCAAATACAAATTAGGAAATACTATTTTTACTGCACCAGAAGGACTATATATGCTGATAGCACTTAAAACCAATTGTCATATTGTGAAATTAAATCTTCTGGACATTTCTGTTAATACATTTAGGGCTACATTTCCAGGGCTAAAATATGTTTTGCTTTTTTGAAAAAAACTCATAGTGATGAGTATAAAATTAACTTTGTCAAAATCAGATGGAAATTTTTCAGTGGTGATGGAGGGGCTAAGATTTCACACTTGGACACCTGCAAACACAGAAGCACTGGTGGTTCCTCAGGTGAATATACCAGAGTGGAACAATGATCTTGGATACTGGTACAGAAAATAACCCAGTTCTGGCAATGTCTTCAAGTAAACATGAAAATTATATTTTGTCATTATGGCATATGCAGAAAAGAGACTGATATAAGAACTATTAGGGAGTTCTCCCTCACTTCTTGTTTTTCCTCCCAAGTGGACTTCCAGGCTTGAACTTTGGGCTGTTGTAAATTGTAACATTACTGAAAAACAACCTGCAGTTCTTAATGCAATGAGTAAATGAAACCTAAAAAACTGGATTAGGTAATTTCAAAATTGTTATTTTTGTAGCTGTTTACCTATACTTAACTGTCTGGAATTCATCACTCCTTGCAAACCATTCTACATTTCTTTGGTCTTTATGCTTTTCACTTTGACTTTCTTCTGTTTTGTTTTGTTTTGTTTTGTTTTTTTTTTTTTCCTCCCACTCTTTCTCTGATTTTGTCATAAAAACATCTTACATATATGGGTGGCTCTTTAAAGAAGTGTCATCTACAGGAAACATCTTACATATGAGTAGAGTTGTGGGAGTTACTTTATCTGTTGAGCTACAGAATAAGAGGGATATAGTTTAATTTATACTGAAATGTTTTGCAGTAATTTTTACTTGCAAATCTTGAAATAGGAAAAAGATGAAGCAGGTCAAAAAAATAGTTTTTCTCCATCTTTTCCATGGAAGATGGGTATTTGTTATTCTAGTCTCAGTCCTTAAGAAGTGGCCACAACTGTACCTTATAGATTTAACTTTAATTAAAATTAAATCTTTAGTACTCTCTATAAGTATTCTCTATAACAAAGATCCTTGCAAAATCCAAAAAAATACATATTTTTAAACTTACTGATTTTAATTTATGCCATCATTTTCCTTTGTCTGCTACTTTTCTGTGCCTGTGCTTAAAATCATCTTTATCTGCCATAAAGCAACACTTTGTTTTCTCTTACTCTCGGATATCTAAAACTACCTTTACGATATCTCTTGGATATCTAAAACTATCTCTATCTCTTGGATATTTAAAACCAACAAACAAACAAACAAATTAGACTTGTACCATGAGCACAGGGCCATAGATTTTTTTTTTTAAATTATTTTCTTGAATGCAACAATAACACCAAAAAATAATATATGTTGAATAATGGCAACCTTTATAAAGTTGTCTTTATTTATTCACCAAACCAAATTTATTCGGTATATTCATTATTTGATATTTGACCTACTCTGGGGTGTGTTCATAGGAATCTTGTTTAAAAAAGAATGTTGAGACTGAAAAAGGAGTAAAGCCACTAGAGCTGTCCTTATAACATAATCTACATGTCACCATCCCATAAGTCTTCTTCACAAGATCCTCATGATGATATAAATAGGAGTTTAAGAAGAGTTATCTGGCAAACTTCTGCCTTTCTTAACAAATCATCCTTGTTACTGAAAATACACAAACTTTCATTAAAAGTCTCTTTTATAAGCTACAAAGTTATGCTAAATAATACCAATTTAGATGCTCTGAAATGGACGAAACCAGCATTTACATGTAGCTAAATCAGAACGTTGTTATTCTGGTGAGTTTTAACCTAATAAGACACATTTTTAGTGGAGATAACATTGACAGCTATTAAGAACAGTTTGATTTACCCACGGTTTGAAGGAATATGGAAAGGTCAAGATTAAATTCCCCAAAGATCAGCATAATGATACACAGCACACTACAACACATATCTTCTTTGTGATGAAATACAAAAATACAGTAAAATGGGAACTCTTATACTGCACAATGTTTAATTCATGGAATAATCAAATAAATATGCAAATAGAAGGCTCTTTCTATGCTAGATGTCATAAATACACTTCAGCTATATTAAGTGTTCCTCGTCAATACACATAACATTATGTTTTAGTTAACAAGAACAGCAAAGGTTTTGGATGAAACAAAGTGTTAAATGAAATTTAATTATGGTAATTAAAAAAAAAAGCAACAACTAAGTTACACTAATTATTTTGTGCAATTGTGGATATCTGTTTCTGCTAATATGAAGATATAACACACTTAATATGATCCCTTTCCCTCATGACATCCATATCCTAGAAACAAATAATGGTTTAGGTTGAAAAGGACCCTAAAAATCAGCTAAATCCAGCCCTCCTACCATGGGCAGGGACACTTCCCACTAGACCAGGTTGCTCAAAGCCGCATCATTCTCAAACATTTGTAAACCATCCCTTCTTCATTAAACCAGGGGTCCTAATAAATAACGTTATAACTAAATTTTGGTCTGAGCAACCTTGTTGTTGACTGTGCTTTGAGCAGGAAGTTGGACTGAAGACCTCCTGATGTTGTTTCCAGCCTGAATTATCTTATACCTTATGAAGTGGATGTATTTCTATGAAGATATTTAAAACTGCACAAAGAAGACAAAACAACCAACTATTAATTATAAATAAGGGGAATAAATAAACAATGATCAACATTCAGTTTCTTAAGTTTAAAATTGATGCTGCACCTGAAAAACCTAATCAGACATTTTCTGAAATGGACCAAGTATTTTATGGAAGTTCCATGCATGAAACTTACAGCAGTTTCTATACAATGAAAAATGAATCTGTATAGCTGATTTGGAGGTATAACTGGAGCACAGAAATACCATAAAGTTAAGTGCTAAATGACTTATTAGTGTTACACAACAATTTTTCATATCAAAAAGGCAATCTTGTTTTTTCAGCTCCCACCACTTCAGTGATAAAAAACAAACAAATAAATAAAAAAGTAAACAAGCAAAGATCAATTTCAATCTAAGAATTACCATAAGATTGTGTTGATATTAATAACAATAAAAATGATGATAAAAGTCCAGTCCATCTCTCTTTAGAGTCATCAATAATGACACCGATATTTTGGAAAAAATAATTGTTTGTTTAATTGAAAGCATTAATTTGCAGAAATGTACCCAAACTAAGGCACTGGAAAGACAGGTCCAGCCTAACTATATGGGAGATGTAGTAAATGGTAGAACAGTATCGATAGCTATAGTCTAAGACCAGCAGTCATCAGTCTGGAATAAACCTCTTCCATTTCTTAAATATTTAACACTTAGCATCTATGTTACTATCCTAATTGTATGAATTCTGTGATTCTGTGAATTCATTTTCTAAAAAAATAAAATTATCGAGTCATAAGTTCATAAATGGTGAAATGAGAAAGGGTCACCAAGTTTCTTCTTCCTATCAGTATTTTAGCAATTTCTGTATGAAGGTGACAACTCTTGGTTGAAGGTGATCCTTCAGAATATTGTTTATCATTAATTAAAGTTCCTAAAATGTTTTAGACAGTGATACAAAGTCTTTCTGTTATTCTGAATGTATTTATTTATTTGACCTCCAGTAGCAATTTGCATTATGTCAAAGTTGCTAGACAAGTTGCTGTATTCATTTTTTTTTTTTTTTTAATAAAATGAACAAAATAGGCAGCTTCAAGTTGTAGTTCATCACCTGAAATAGATGGCTAAACTAGGTTAGGTCATTTTATTTTATTTTTTAAATGGACTTGGTGCCTTGCACTGGTACAAACATCCACCCTGTAGACATTTAATAAACTGAAAGCTTCCCTTGGTAGGTTGCTCAGCGTTTTCCCCTGGTTGCTTAAAATGTATAGCATTTTTTTTTCCTTCTAGCTTTAATGTTCCCTTAACAGCTTACTGAAGGTATTACACTCACAGAACAGACAGATACATAAATGTAAGACTTTTTGAAGAATATAACCAACAGGCAGGACTGGCCAACATCCACAGGAGAAAGCAGGAAGAAGTAGATGATGTGCAATCAAATAAAGATAAAAGCAATGAACATACTGGTTAAGAGTTTTGAAAAAGGTAATATGGCATGCTGAAAAAGAGGATGTGAAAGACAAGGGGATTTGAAATGTGCCTAGTCCTAGTTTGGAAGCAGTAGAATAATTCACACTCTATCCCAGTGTTGCGATATGTAGCAATGCTGGCAATTGATAGAGATAATAAATAAATAAATAATAAAATCTGGTCCTAAACATGCTTCTTCAAGACACTGTTCTCTTATGCTCAGAAGAAAAGCTAGAGTACACTTTAACATTGATCCATTTGTGTCTTCATTCATATAATGAATATTCATTCAGTATATGTCTTGCAAAAAAGCTACATGTAATGCAGATGATAAAAGAGGGATGAAAGACTTTATTCAGTCAAGAATCTTCATAACATCAATGACATTTCTCTTTCCTTCTCTGGAATAATATATATAAAATGGCATCATGCAATGACTGTCAGTTACAGCACAAATTAACCAGATGTATAAAGTTCAGAACATCCAGCTCACTGAGCAATTGGTTTCATATTGGCTTGTAGATGACATAACCAGGATGGTCAGGATGAATACTGTATAACAACAATGTCCCTGTGATCTGATTATACTGATTATAACTTTATTACAAATATGTTCTTTTCCTAATGAATAGTTAATGGGTGCATTGGATTCCAGAACACTTCTGCTGTCACAGATAGTTTTAAATGTTCACTTACGAATTAACATAAGGTTTAAGAGAAAAAAAATGCCGTTTTCATTTTCTCCATTTTCTAAATTGAAAGACTACATTAAAACATCTCCTTTGATGGCTTTTTTTTTTTTTCCCATCTATTGTCCTATGCCTTTATAATGTAAATTATTCATTTGATGAATACATTTTCCAGAGGAGCTTGGCAATATTAGTGGAGTGATTCTCTTATGACCATGAACAGACTGAAAATGAAACCTCCCAAAGGCCTTGGTTTTGATATCTGTGGTCCCTTTGTAATACCAGATACCATCATAAATTTCTCAGTAATCTTGCAGTGAGTTTATGTTTTGAACCAATCAAGTCTCCTTTGAGTAAAGCTTATGACTCTATGATAATTAATAATCTATGATCTCTTAAGGACATTAAGTTGAAAAACTTCACTTTCCCAGTGGTAACCTTTTACAACTCATCCTTTACCTAAATGATTCCTATTGAGAATTTCTTTTAGCTGACAGAGTGAGCAGCCTCTGCAGCTAATGACAAGGGACCTCCTTCATAATCTGGCAGCCCCTGGTACTGCACTATTGAGCACTGTGAGGGGTGAAATACCAGATTGAGGGATATGAGTAAAATATGGTTAGCTGTCTTTTTAACTTCAGGGTTTGAGACAAACTAGTTTGATGCAACAACACCCATTTAAATAACATCACAAAGTGTCACATTTTGGAAAGATCTCCAGGTAAATAGAGCTCCTGTAGACCTTCTCTTTGCCCTGTGGGCAGCTAGACATGAACCTCTGGTGTTGCTCAGTAAAGCGTTAGTAGATTGTGATTAACATTTTCTAATATTTGATCCAAACTGATCTCAGGTGTCAACAAAATTAGAGTTACATGATGAATTATTTTGTTCCCTGGTGGGCTTCCACCATTTTTTGTCAGGTGAATGACTCCCACAGTATGGTCCTAAATAAACCAGGAGGAGTGGAAAAATCTGGTTCTGAATAAAATTGCCTCTATGGTAGCCTATATTTCTTGCAATTCTCCATAGCCTACAGTTTGAGATTCTGTGTCAAATGTAGAACTAATTTCCTCTTGGGTAATTTTTATACAAGCCTGTAACATAATAAAGAACTTCCAGGAACTGACAGAGCTACCTGTTCTCATTCAGGTTAGGTCAACATTATTGAAAGGCTATGCCCTGGAAGTAGTGTAATATAATGTCTGCTGATCTGCTCTTTGATTTTAACAGCATCCATAACTTGACATGAATTTGTAATATGATCATAAATTATAAATTTACAGCAAAGTTATCCAGCAATTCTATCATGAAAATGATTTTAAATTAACCATCAACATTCACAGAAAGGAATTGCATTTGTAGATTGCCTTGTGAAATGATTTACTGATATGAATTTAAGCCCTGAGCTCCCAAGTCTCTGCAGAACCTTTCTTTTTGTTTAAGGAAAATATATTGGGGGATGGAGGCTTGAATTGTCTGAGTTAAATCAATGAAGTTCCAATGATTTTCATGCCTTTAGATACAACAGCATATACATGTAGAAAGGTAAATATATCAATATGATACTGTACTACATAAACTAGATACAGTCTGAATTTTAGATATTGGCAGTCTCTAGGTACCTACCACTCTGTTTCTGTCCAAAATAACTTTTGAGCAGTTTTGTAACTTTTTTGAACTTCACGCTTGTAAGAATCACAGCTAAATTAATCCTTTATCTGTCTCAGGGGTTATTTGTTCCTCTATTCAGTCCTGCTATAGTGAGCACCCTGAGGGTGCTTACGATCTTGAGGATGCTTAGGATTCTGATATTGCTCTGGAATTGTATTGGCTGCACAAAACAGGAGAGGCTCTACCTTTATTCTGTACTTGAAGGTCAGGGCATAGGCACTGGATGTAGGAGAACTGTGTTCAGTTCCTTTCTCCACGCAAATTAGGTGAGCTTTTTCCTCACTGCCTCTTAAAAAGAGGCTGTCACCTTCAGGCTTCAGGATACTTAGTGGAGTGAAGTTGGACATATTTTGGAAATGCAGTGGGGCATCACAACAACACTAGCTCATTATTACTGCCACACTTTGCTATAGGGTTTCCTCCTTTGCAAGACACTTCAATGTTAGAGCATAGGTTCATTAGACGTGAAGCACGGTATATGTTTTTCAGGAAAGATATGGACAAACTGAAGAGTCCAGAGGAGAGCAGTGAAGTTGGCAAAAACATCAACTATGATAAAAATCTGAAAAGCATCGAATTATTTAGTCAAAACAAATGAAGACTAAAGAGTTAGCATGCATTAAATGTTGCCAATAGCAGAAAGTGTGCATATTGTTCACTAAATCTATTGTAGGTCATAAATAGGATAAAAAGACAGAAAGAAAGATTTAGCTTTGGAAGATTTTTTTCTTTAAGTGAAGATTTTTAAGCATTGAAACAGAATGTGTTAGAAGCTGTGGTAGCTTAAAAAATGATTAGATAATTATCTTGTGGGAATAATCTTAGCTGTTCCTACATTCATACAGTAGGTTTACCATGCTATGAGTATTATATGATCTATGAATGACCCTTCAGACACAACTGTCTGCAGTCTTTGAAATCTTTGGACTTGGAGATGGACTTGGAGTTAGTCTGAATTTAGGCTGTGATGTGATTCAGAAATCCCCTTTGCAGATCTGTTCTCTGACTTCCCATTTGTAACCTGTTGGAGGAAGGAAGAATATGCTAAAGATTATGCAGAATACAAATGCTAGATGTCTGGTTCATTGGCATTGGGATCTCTCAGCATAAATCTAAGATGTCTCATGTCAATCACGACCTCCTAATACACCCCTGCAAAGCATGCAAATACTATAAGGCTATTAACATCCTAAATAAGTACTTAAAACGAATTCATTGGTACCTCAAACATTGATGAAATTGTTCTGGTGAATCCCAGAATCCCATAAAGAATATCTGTAGCTCCTCTCTTTCCTAGGTAGTGAACTAAGCACAAAGATGAAATGACTTGTTCAGAGTCACACAGGAAGTGTATGGCACAGTGTGGGAGCTGAATATAGCTAACAAGCCACAAGCCTTTCACTTCCTCTCTAAATTTCTAACCATTGGTATAAAACAACAATGGTTGTTCCTAGTAGAGAGAGGTGTTTTGTTAGTGAAACATTCTTGTGATGCACAAAGTAGCAGGGCTGTCTCAACTGTGGCATTTGGAAAGGAATATTTCTTCTTAGGAATAAAGAGACCTAGATTTATAGGTATTGATTAAAAAGTATTCTCCACACAGAGTAAAAATCAAGCCTGCAGCCAAGAAGCCCACAATAAAGTACATGCTTAATTGAGTGTAATAAGATGAACTCTGAATTATAATTGCAGGTGGAATTCAGAGGTTGGGAGGTGAAATAAACAATTTAGGATTATTGGAACAACCTGTCTTTAGTGAAGACTGGCATGTTTATATGCAGAGTATGACACCCAATGATTTTAGTAAGCAGCAAACAACTGCCACCATAATTTATATTCATTTGAGGCCTTCTTTGGAAAAGAGATCACTCATAATTCAAAGAAGAAATAGTGAGCATTTGCAGGGCAAAAGGAAAAACCATATCCACATGCCTGTACATCTAATGATCAGAAAACATTTATCAAAATACAGTACAAATTACTTTATTGTCCATAGTTAATACTTTCCACAGATTCAGAACAGTCTCAGACAAGTTTGTTCTAGAGTAAATGAACTCTAAAATAAAAGAATGCATTCTAGCACAATGTTAACAGGATAGAGATGTAATTTTGTACTCAACCAGAATACAAGATGGAGGTCATCTGAATTTAGTTCGTTTGTACTGTGTGTATGGTGAAGATAAAAAGATGTAAAACATTTTCTTAAGCAAGTGGTGAATGTAACACAGAAGTATGGCCTGTTAGTTCCATAGATTAAATAAAAACCTTCTGAATCATTACCTACCAAATAAATCACAATAACTTACTGTAACTATGTTTTCACACATACATATAACTATTTGTATATTATATATAGTATAAATGTTTTTTTGTAAATGTTTCTAGATTATTTTGACTTTTATATGGGAAAAATATCTTTGTTTAATAGTTAAAATGCTATTATACCTTATTTAACCAACACAAATACACAAATACAATGACAGACTGCTATTATCTTAGAAATAAGGAGAAGAAAATATAAAATGAGCATTATTGTGGAAGAAAAAAAAAAAGGAGAGACTGAAAAAAGACAACATTCTCATTTTAAATATCCACTTCAAAGAAACAGCGACTAACACCCACAAAATTTGAAGGGCTGGGTTACAGAAAGCATAATGGGAAATGTTCTTATGAAAGGGTAGACATAATTTTATGAAAGTCAGAATGGCCTAAATTGTCAGCGGAAGACACTTTAATAAAATTGTCCTGTATGGTTCATTTGTCTCATGAAATTTTTAGAAGAGAGAACTTGTTCAAAATTACTGATCATAGATTTGAAAAGAATATGTTTATGTCATACTCTACAAAAATACTTCTTTGCATACAATCTGTTTACATCCTTTCCAATTATGGAAATTAGTCCATATCGTCAAATGAAATAATTTTGTATGATCTTATCTGCTTTCCCTAATATCTACCAAACATTTTATAGGCTTTTCAAGATATAAGATTGAAACATGCTTCATTGTGTTAACCACTGTGTTGACCATTGTGTTGTGTTCACTGTGTTGACCATTTCAGCCATCACGAAAAGGTACGGCATACAGAAAAAATTAAGTTGAGTAGTAAAAATAAAAATACACTGTAGATAGCACAGAGTTAGTTATTCAAGATAAAGTTTGTGTCATGACAGATGTAGTAATGTTACCTATTAGTTCAATATTTTGAATATTTTTAGGGGTCCACCATTATTTATGTATGGCTGTTCACATGTAATCAATTTAAGACTCTCCTCCAGAGATTCAGCTGTTAAGACAAATCACTTTTTGGAAGAAGATCTAAAACATACAAATTCTTTAGTAGTTGAAAATATAACGGTACCATTTTATGGTTATTTGCCAAAGAAGACTTACATAATGCTTCAATGTTAAATCTTCAAAGAACAGCACATACGTGCACTAACTAGTCCATGTACTTCTGCTTTTCTGTACAACAGGTAGATATATTTATATTATCTACACACTGAATATTTTTCATTCCCTGGCAGAGTGTTTTGGACCAGTAGTTAGGTTATGACAAAAAGAAAGGTAGTAAACATAAAACAAAAAAGGTTCTAAAATAACTTGATTTGGGAATTGGATCAATTTCTAGGTATTGTGTGTGTGAGTTTAGGATCTCAATCAAAATCCCATCTAGCTGCAGTTTTGGTGGAGTTTAAGCTTTTTAAGATCAGACAAGTCCATTTTTCCTCAGGAAGTAAATCTAATGGATTAAGGATGCATACCAAAACTGCCATTTTGGGACAGTACTAACTACTGTATTATTACTAGTTTAATATAAAGTCAGGCCAGAGAAATGTAGCTGCAGTATTCTGAAAAATGACAAAAGAATTCAGACCAAAGGAAGACAGAAGCTATCATTTTCTAGAGAGCTGTCTGTAAAATAAGAAAAATTCTTCTGAAAAATGTCTGGTACTTATTTTTATCGCAGTACAGAAAACAAGAATAGGTTATCCAAGAGAGTTCAACAACTAAGTAACTTGTCTTAGGGTAGGAGAAGGTGGAGACATAGTTCTACCTTCTGTACAAGCTATCTGCAACAAAATCTTGAAACCTCTATATTCTGTATTAATTGGTCTGACCACCAAATTGCAGCATCAGGGCACTGTAATGAAAAGTTGTCACTTCTGTACAGAACACATTCTTTTTAAACAAGCCAGCTTGAATATCAGTAGTTGTGTCACCTCAGGGCAATAAGCTCAGAATCTGGGGTAAATGGATGCCATTTTTATACTGCTCTAATTACGGAACTAGCTGCCCCCTTTGTCAATGGACATGCCTCAACATCTGCTTTGCACCAGAATTTCTCCCAAGGCCAGAGGAAGATTTTCCTGTGAAATATTTATTATAATTAACAGTTTTTCCATATGCTTGAGAACACTGCAAGCATATGGACTTATATCTACATGATCACTTTGTAGCCTTTGAGGTCAGACAGTGCTTCAGTTTCCACTGAATTATTGTAGACGTGGAGGGAATTAATATCTTTGAAATGGATATTTTATAAAAGAACATTTCATATAAATGTCATAAATAGGTAAACATAATGAATAACAGATGTTTTTCTAAGACATTTTTCAAAACTTCTTGTGGAATCATCTTCTGCAAAGGTTTTGTAAGAACAGGTTAGACAGACGTGCTAATGATGGACCAGATATCAAAGCCATTCTGAATGTTGGGCTAGCACTAGAAAATTTCAGCTCTTTTTGATTTGTGGGCTACTAAAGCATTCCATTGGGGATGCAGAAATTTCACACATTTAAGGTGATTTATAATGTACAGAAGCTTGGTCTTAATTGCTTCTCACAGTTAGCCAACATTCATGTCCAGATAGAAATTAAAAACTGCTGGACTGTGGGTAGGTCTTTTTCAGACCTATAGGTCTTTGGTGTATGTGTGTGTCTTTGCCTGTTCTGGAATTTTTGCTTAACCCACATGTTGGTCCTGGTGACACACTTCCACAACTTTTTTCCAGGGGAGGACATTTTCCTGCAGTTTCTCTTGCCACTAGTTATTCCAATAGTAGCATGTGCACTCCATATGAATTTAATAACAGAGAGAAGCTGTTATTGAGGAAGCTGCTGCAAACTTTCTGTCCCCTGAGAAGAGATATTTTATTAGTTTTGAAGGCAGGCAACTAGGTAATGCTGTCAAAAACTTGTCTTGTTCTCTGCTGAAACTGTGCATTTATTTATGTTGTTTATTTTTATTTTCCCAGTAGTCATTGTAATGTAGTCACTTTAATAATCAGCTGTAAGAAGAAATAACTTACTGCTACAAGTCATCATACCACATGCATAGTTAAAGCCTATATGAGCAATTTCTCTTCATGCATGTAACAGCTTGTCTATGCCCTGTAACAGTTTGTAACTGATCATTTAAACAGGGTTGTTTAGTTTTATTTTTAATGATGTCTAAAAAGAGAAATAGTCTGTATTACAGACCAAATGACTGAAAAAAAATATAAAAAAAATAAAACAAATTGTTCCATACTGGAGCATGAGGAACAGGGATGCAACTACTAAAATAAAATGTTGCTATATTTCATCTGGGAAATGTAGGTAAGAGACCAAATGCTGGGAAATTATAAACCTCAGAAAGTTCAAGACTAAACTTGTAGTCATAATAATTGTCTGTTAGTATGCATATTTTTCCTGTGTATGAAGCAAAATGATTACATTTTAAAATGCTGATTCAATTACAATTTCTATTATTCTGGGTTCTGAAATTTCAATCTTTTCCTTTAATTACTTTTAGAAGTTGTAGTCAGTCATACTGTCCCACAGCTTACTGTATATTTTACTTACAGACTTTTAGAAACATGGTGAATAGCTGAGCTTTTAAGGAGGAACATAAATCAATGAAAATAGAGGAGAAGGCAAGCATGAACAGAGAGACTTGCACAACAGGAGAAAAAGATCAAGCTCACAGCAACAGAATAAGTGCTAACTTAATCATCTGCAACCACCCCACTCAGTAGTAAGCTATAATACAATGAAGTGGTGGTTCAGTTTCAGGTCATGTACTACAGAATTAAAAATGCCACACTCATAAAATACAAGGAGGCGAACAGTACAAAATAACTTTTTTTTTTTTTTTTCCCAAAATTTGATCAAAATGTTCTAAGGAGATAGCAATTTCCAAAGAGAACTGTTGACCAACAGAGAGAGGTTTTCATTTGCCTTCAGACAGCAAGAGCATATTTTTCTCTGGCATTTGAGATATTCATGGGACCAGGCATTTTACATGTTTGCCAAGCTATGGAGATGTATAAGAGTGTAGTGAGTTTAGTGGATCCAGCACATGGGATCCCAG